GTAATCGATGAGGAAGCGTAGATGCAGTGTCGATGAGCGTCGATTTGGCGTCGACTAGCGCCGATGAGCGTCGACTCGCAAGAGCCAGCCAGATGGGATGGTAGGCTTCTGGGAGTTGCCGCAGAAAGCTGGGGCCACACATGCGCCTCCCCCGCCCAGCACAGCGCCGTGTGGCCCCAGAGGGAGCTCCACCGAAGGCCCCAGTGATGGTGCCCACGAGCGTCTCCCCCTGCCCTGGCACCTTTCGTGGCCCCACGGGGAGCACCTCGGGCCAGGGCCCCTTCCAGCAACACCCGGGGCGGCGGTGCCGTGGGAGCTGCGATGCGCCACGGCGGGCCCCGGGCCAGCTGCGCCGCGCTGCGGGCCGCGCCGACGCCCTGCCGGGCGGCGTCGCCGCCGCGGCGAGGGGACGGGCCGAGGGCGCCGCACGCGCACTTCTCGCCGGTGCGGGGCGTGCCTCCGGGCCTCCCGGATGGGGTCGGAGTCGATGGGGTCGGAGGATCGCGCCGCATCGCCGACGCATCGGCGATGCGGCTGGATGTGGGGCCCAATGTTCTCCACGCCCATGTCGCCGATGCATCGCGGGCGTGTGCATGGCCGATGCATCGGCGATGCATCGCCGATGTATTGGCGGTGCGGCGAGGTCTTCCGACCGCATCTACTCGGACCCCATCCAAGAGGCCTCGAGTGTCAGCTACACGTAAGAGTGACCTTTCGCCGGAGTGGCCTTTAGTGCGGGCCCACTGGGGTCCCCCGATCGCCGAGCGCGAGGCGGCAGTAGCGCCTTGCACGCTTGTGGTTGGTCCCCCCGCGGCCCCCACGAAGCCGTGCACCACAGGTTACTCTTACCCAGGGTCACTCTTGCGCGTAGCCGAGGAACTCGGGGGTCGGTGCGATGGACATGGGTACGGCAAGGATGGGGCCGATGACTGGCAGCTTAGAGCTTAGAGTCGGCTGGGGGTCTGAGGTGGTCCAGCTCTGTTTCTGGCCAGCAGGAGGAGGGGCGGCGAGGTTCCAGGCTCTGGGTTCGAGCAGATTGTTTGTCCTTTTCTGCCTCCGGGGGCCGTGTTCGGGCTTCGGGACCGTCCAACAATTAAACCAGATGGAGCCTGGGATGAGTCTGTGGATTTGAGCGGATTTTGTTTTAATTTCCGCTTCTTGACCGATTTTCTCGGGGCCCAGGGTTGTGTGGCTAAGGGATAAACTCTACGTCTCCAAGATGGGGTCCGAGCAGACGTGGTCGGAGGATCGCGCCGCATCGCCGATGCATCGCCGATGCAGCTCGAAGTGGAGCCCGACTTTCTTTGCGCCGACTGTGCCGATGCATCGCCGACGCCGCCGATGCACCGATGATGCGGCGCGATCTTCCGACCCCATCTACTCGGACCCCATCTACGAGGCCTTTGTAAACTCACGGGTCGGTGCGATCGAGTCGGGTACGGCAAGGATGGGGACGAAGACCGGCAGCAGTTCCTGCCCATTTTGAGCAGGGCTCGCTCTCGGCGTCGCGGCGACGTTGTCCAATTGTAACAACAGGTTTGACAGCGGTCCCTGCAGGTTTTTGGTAGCACTTCCTGTTGGGCATCGTGCCAATTTCGGGTGTCCACAAAGGGCAACGTTAGGGGGTATAGTTCATGGTAACGGGCCCCAATTTCGGGCGTCCACAATGGACAACGTTCGGAGCGTTCGGGTTCACGATGTCTATCGCCGATCTATCGGCGATGTCTCGCCGATTCCAGCTCGATGTTCCCCCTCGTGAGCCAGCCCCCCCATCTTCCCCCCCCACATGTAAACACATAATGTGGCTACACGTAAGAGTCCCTTGCTGGAGTGACTTTTTGGGTGCCTGGCTTTCAGGGAGCGCGGGGTGGGGGCCAGACCCAGTCACGCAGGCCGCTGCGTCGCACCGCGTTCAGGGGTGGGCAGGCCGCGCAACATAGGTTACTCTTGCCAGGGGTCACTCCTGCGTTTGGCTGGAGAGGGTCTACGAAGCAGGTTTTTCGCCAGATTCGGTTTTTGGAGGCCCATTGATGGTTCACCATGAAGAGAAGGCGAATCATCGCGTTTTCGAGCCTTCGGGGCCTTTCCTGGGACATTCAGGCAGAATCATCATTGATCGGAATAAAGGGCCGGTCCCGGGAGAAAGCCGCTTGATCCAGGACTCGTTCCCCTTAGCCTTGTTCTCGTACCAGTATGCACCATTGGCATGCCTGGCCAGACGTGGTGGTGTATAGGTGGTTTCTGCAAGCGACGAGCGCCCCAATGATGAGATTTGGAACGTGATGATGCAGAATAGCTGGGTGGTAAGTCACGGGAGCTTCTGCTCGTCTTGGATTGAATGTGTATCGGCGAACAGCGCCCGAGAGTGCTCAACCGTGCCGATGAGCGCCGAATTGCGCCCAGTGGTGCCGCCGAATAACGCTCAAGTAGCGTCCAAGAGCGACCAGCGTCGCCCAATAGCGCCGTGAAAGGGTGACACATGATGTCCGCTTTCCGCGCGAGAGCGCCCTGGGGACGACCAAAAGCTCCCGTGAGTTGCTTTCTAAGAATCGTGCGTGAACCCGTAGGCGGGCTAACGGCGAGATAGGCAACGGCGATGCAGGTTTCGGTAGTGTGGGAACGCGTGGCTCGCGCCTTCCCTGTGCCGCGTTCGCTCGATCCGTTCGCATCTTGGAAATGTCTGCGAGTGTGGCTCGCGGTTCCCTAAACTTCCGCTCCCCCGCATCACCGTCAGGCAGCATCGCCATTAGCCCGGCCCTGGGCGTGGCCCAGGAAGTGGTGGCCTCCGCGCTTCGTGCCGTGCGCGCGGAGTTGTGCACGGGGGGGCGACGAACCGCAGCGCAGGCCTGGGACACGGCTGGCTCCTCCCGGGTCGGACGAGAGGGGTGCCAGAGATCCAACGTATTGAAAAAATCAAGGCGGACGTTTTTCGCTGTTTTCGGCCTCTAGGGGCCCTCGCCGGGCCCCAGGACCGTCAAAAAACGACTCAGGATCAAAAACCGGTCCTCTTGGGGCGCTCTTGGGCGGTCTTGGGGCCGTCTTAGGGGGCATCTTGGGCCCCTCCTGGAGCTCTCTTGGGCCATCTCGGGGCCACCTTGATGCTTCAAGAACTCATCGGAAGCGAAAAGGCGAGAAGGCGCAATTCATTGAGTTCCATCAGGTATTTGAATGATTTTGGCGTCTCGAGGAGGTCCAGAAGGGGTCTTTGAGGGCACCTGGAACCGTCTTGTGGCCCTCTTGCGGCGTCTCGGAGGCATGGTGGAGGTCATCTTGAGCGATCTTGCGCTGTCTGGAGCCCTCTTGGAGGCCATCTTGGAGCATCGGATGCCCTCTTGGAGCCATCTTGAGCGAAAAAGGGCGCTTTGAGGACTCACGACCCCCCCGTCGAGACCCCTGGGAGGGGAGGGGGAGGGTACCCCTTCCCGCAGGGAAGAGGGGTTTTGGACGAGGAAATGCTGATCTCGTTAGACCACCTACGCCCAGAAGGCTGGTGGGATTCTCGGCTTTCGAGTTTCCGACGCTCCATGACGTCCCAAGAGGCTCCAATGACCGCCCCAAGACCGCCCCAAGACGGCCCAAGAGGCCCCTAAGAGGGCCCTGGGGCCGCTCTGGGAGCTCCCTTGGCGCCCCTTGGGGCCCTCCTAGGATGTCCTGTAGAGCTCTCTTGGGGGCCTGTGGGAGTTTCAGGAGAGCCCCGGGAGGCCTCTGGAGGTCCTGGAGGCCCTTCAGATCTCCAGAGTCCGGAGGCCCCCGGAGGCCCCAGAAAAGCAAAGCACGCCCCAGAATGTGCAATCGACGACCACCACCACCACGACCACTACGACGACCACCGCGACGATCATCGCGACGGCGGCGGCGGCTGCGTCGGCGCCCGCGGGGGCGGCGGCGGCGGCGGCGACGGCCTGGCGGCCCAGAGCCTCTGGGGCCCTCATCGGCCACTGTGGCAGTCACGTCACTTGCGCAGTCTGGGGAACACTCGGAGCCGTCCGACGCGTCGCACGTCGATGTCGCACGGCTCCGCTGCCGCCCACCGAACCTTACATGATCCCCCCAGAAGGTCCAGCACCTCCACGCGCGCAGGGCGGCCCTTGCCTTGGGAATCCCTCCATGGGTATTCAGGGGCTCGTGTGTGAGCGCAATGTCTATGAACAGCGGCTGCGCGGTCGGCTAGACCGTAAGCGCGCGAGTCGCGCGCGCGCAGTTGGTTCTAGTGTATAATATAAATGTGTTGGTTGAGATGTTCGTTCTAGCATTAAGTGTTATGAGAAGGGGCTTCCCGTTTCCAGTTGATTTTTGTTGATATCTATTCATCACCGAAGCAAGCGCAAAACACATCGGTTCATACCGATTGCGCTGCGATGATGGACTACATCTGCCTCCTCCCTCCCTGTCTGCTTTTCTCCTCCAGGATTGAGAGAGTCTGGTCCAGTCAGGGCGATGCCCGTGATGGGGTTGTCACGGGGGGCGGTAGGGGGGGGGGGCAGCACGCCACCCGGACCGACGACCCGATATGCCTGAGGCCCCCGGCCCCCCCGCACCTCCTAATCCCGCTGCCCGGGACCGGCTTCTCATCCCGAGCCGCCTTCGGCCCTAGGACCGTTTTTTTTTTTTGTTTCTTGCTCTTGTTGTTTCTTCCCTTTGGGTCCTTGCTCCCAGCCCCGGTTCGTGCATGGACGATGCGCAACGCAGGGGTGGCCAGGGAGCTTCCCAGGCGCGGCGGACCCTGAGCGCCGCGAGCCTCGCCAGCGGGCCCCCCGCCGTGCTGGGCGCGGCTTCGCCCGCGGCGCCGCTCGAGCCGCCCACTGGAGGCGTGCGCCGCCGCGCCAGCAGCGCCGCGGCCATCACCCCACGGAGGCCGCAGGCAGCGCCGTGGCCGCGCGTGGCCCAACAGGCCTCTGCTGCGCCACCGCTGCGCCGCCGCTGCGCCGCCGCTGTGCCGCCGCTGCGCCGCCGCTGCGCCGCCGTTGCGTCGCCGTTGCGCCGTGGCCTTGGCTCGACAGGCTGGCGCCGCGGCGCCGCTGGAGCTGCCGCGCGCGCAGCACCGCGCCTCGGTGCCATCAGGCCTGGCGGCCTGCGCCTCTCCCGCGGCGCCTTTCGCGCTGCCGCGCCAGGCCTCCTCGCGCGCGCAGCGGTGGGGTCGCACTCAGCTGAGCATGGGCCCATCAGACCCAGGGGAGGCAGGCTCGAGGTTTGAGCTTCGAGGTTCTCGGCACGTGTTTCGTCCTTTTCGAGCCGACGGGGGCCTTCTCGTCGCCATGGCTTCATACGCCTCGGAGATCCTATCGGAACGCGCCCCATGACAGGTCCAGGTTCGACATCTTGAGCCCTGGACCCAGACCCGGAACGTCTTGAAAGACTGCAGCTGCTTGATTATTGCCTATCGAAGACGCCTACGGCGAATCCCCGCCGCCCCCCTGCCTTTTTTGGAAGCGCCCCTGTGGCTGAAAGTTGGGCTAGAGCTTGGCCAAGCCACCGGACCATGTGTTTCCCCAGCCGTCCTTGAAAGCCTTCGGGGAACACGTGAGATTGAGGAGGAGGATGTGAGGAAGGGAAAGGGAAAGGTAAAGGGAAAGGGAAAGGGAAAGGGAAAGGGAAAGGGAAAGGGAAAGGGAAAGGGGAAGGGGAAGCCGAAGCGGAAGGGAAAGGGAAAGGGAAGAGGAGGAGGAGGAGGAGGAGGAGGAGGAGGAGGAGGAGGAGGAGGGAGGAGAGGAGGAGGAAGAGTAGGAGAAGGAGGAGGAGGAGGAGAAGAAAGAGGAGGAGGACGAGGAGGAGGAGGAGGAGGAGGAGGAGGAGGAGGAGGAGGAGGAGGAGGAATAGAAGAGCAAACAATGGGGAGGAGTTGGCCTCTTGGGAGCCTCATGGGACACTCTTGGGGTCTCCTGGGAGCTTCCTGGGAGCCTTTTGGAGGCCTCTTGGGGCCTCCTTTGGCCTCTTGGGGGCCTTTGGGGGCTTGTTCGGGGCCTCTTTGGCAGTCTTAGGGCGTTCTTGGCCCGTCTGACTCCGTCGGGAGCCGTCTTGGGGGCCTCTGGATCGTCTTGGGGTCCTCTTGGGGTGCTTCAAGGCCGTCTTGGAGGCCATCTTGGACGTCATGAAGGCCTCCTGGGCCTTCTTTGGGCCCCCCTCTGGGCCGTCTTAGGGCGCTTCTTGGGCCGTCCTGGGGCCATCTTGGATGCCTCTTGGGCGCTCTGGGGACGATCTTGGGTGCCTCTTGGGCCGTCTCGGGCCGTCGGAAAGCCGAAACGAAGCAACTGCCAACATCTTGCGAACGCCTAAGGGGAACCAATGATTTTGGCCTACTCGGTCACCTCTGGACAACCTCTTGCAGGTCTCTTGGACCGTCTTGGAGGCCTCCTGGGGGCCTCTTGGTCCGTCTTATGCCGTCTTGGAGGCTTCTTGGGTAGACTTGGGGGCATCTTGGACCCTCTTGGGCTGTCTTGGAGGCCACCTTGAACCATCTTGGGCGAACTTGGAGGCCATCTTGGGCCATCTGAGCCTTCTTGGAGACGATGTGGACAACCACCCTGGCATTTTCGGCAGCATTCTGGGTGGCCTGCGGGGTCGGCCGACGCCCTATGGGGAGTTCTTTAGGAAAAGAGCCAAACCCAAGCATCCCTTGTGGCAAGACCACAGGGGACGGCGGATCGAAGATGCCTACGGCAAATCACCGCCGCCCCCTGCCTTTCTTGGAAGCGCCCGTGTGGCCGAAAGTTGGGCTAGAGGTTGGCCAAGCCATCGGACCATCTGTTTCCCCCGCCGTCGTTCGAAGCCTTCGGGGAGCACGTGAGAAAGATGGTCATGATGACGATGAGTTGAAGGAATAGGTAGGATGAGGAGGCGACGGAGAAGACGGAAGAGGAGGAGGAGCAGCAGGAGGAGGATGAGGACAAGGAATAGAAGGAAGGCAGAGGCGGAACAGGAGGCGGAGCAGGAGCAGGAGGATGAGGAGGATGAGGATGAGGAGGATGAGGAGGAGGAGGAGGAGGAGGGGGGAGGATGAGGAGGAGGATGAGGATGAGGATGGGAGGATGAGGAGGAGGTGGAAGAGGAGGAGGGGAAGGAGGCGGAGGAGGAGAAGGAGGATAAGGAGGATGCCGAGGAGGAGGAGGATGTGGAGGAGGAGGAGGGAGGAGGAGGAGGAGGAGGCGGAGGAGGAGGAGGAGGAGGAGGAGGAGAAGGAGGGGTTGTGGAGGAGGAGGAGGAGGAGGAGAGATGTGGAGGAGGAGGAAGAGGATGAGGAGGAGTAGGAGGAGGAGGAGGAGCAGGAGGAGGAGGAGGATGACGGAAGAGGAGGAGGAAGAGGAGGGAGGAAGAGGAGGAGGAGGAAAAGGAGGAGGAGGAATACTAAGACAAATAGGATGAGTAATGCTAATCATAATCGCGACAACAGGAGGAGGTGGAGGTGGAGGAGAAGGAGAAGGAGAAGGAGGATGAGGAGGATGCCGAGGAGGAGGAGGAGGAGGATGTGGAGGAGGAGGAGGAGGATGTGGAGGAGGAGGAGGAGAGGAGGAGGAGGAGGAGGAGGAGGAGAGGAGAGGAGGCATAGGAGGAGGAGGAGGAGGAGAAGGAGGAGGGAGCAGGAGGAGGAGGAGGAGGAGGAGGAGGAGGAAGGAGGAGGAGGAGGACGAGGAGGAGGAGGACGGAGGAGGAGGCGGAGGAGGAGAAGGAGGATAAGGAGGATGCCGAGGAGGAGGAAAAGGAGGAAGAGGAGGAGGAAGAGGAGGAGGGGGAGTAATAATCAGAAAAAGAGGGGGAGATGAATGCTAATCATAATAACGACAGCAGGAGGAGGAGGTGGAGAAGGAGGAGGAGAAATAACAGGAGAAGGGGAACTAACAGGAGGAGGAGAAGGAGGAGGAGGAGGAGGAGCAGGAGGAGGAGGAGAAGACGGAGAAAGAGGAGGAGGAGGAGGACGAGGAAGAAGAGGAGGAGGTAGAGGAAGACGGATGATGAGTAGACCTTTCGGGAACCTTTTGGAGGCCTCTTGGGGGTCTCCTTCGGCCTCTTTGGGACCTTTGGGGATTCGTTCGGGGCCTCTGTGGCGTGTGACGCCGGGTGACGCTGTCTTGGGGGCCTCTCTTGACCGTCTTGGGGTCCTCTTGGGGTGCTTCAGGGCCGTCTTGGAGACCATCTTGGCCGTCATGGAGGCCTCTTGGGCCTTCTTGGGCCCCCCTCTGGGCCGTCTTCGGGGCTCTTGGGCCGTCCTGGGGCCATCTTGGGGACGATCTTGGGTGCCTCTTGGGCCGTCTCGGACCGTCGGAAGGCCGAAAAGAAGCAACTGCCGACGGCCTCTTGGACCGTCTTGGGCCGTCTTGGAGGCTTAGTGGGCAGACTTGGAGGTATCTTGGACACTCTCGGGCCATCTTGGAGGTCTCTTCGGCGATCTTGGGGCGAACTTGGAGGCCATCTTGGCTGTCTTGGAGGTTATATTGAGCCATCTTGGTCGTCTTGGAGGTCATTTGGGCAACCACCCGGGCATTTTCGGCAGCATTCATTCTGGGTGGCCTGCGGGGTCGGCCGACGCCCTATGGGGAGTTCTGTTGGAAAAGAGCCAAACCCAAGCCGTATAGGGTCTAGCCCGCCGGGCACCCCTGTGGCAAGACCACATGGGGGCGGCGGATCGAAGACGCCTACGGCGAATCACCGCCGCCCCCTTCCTTTTTGGAATCGCCCATGTGGCCGAGCGTTGTGGCAAGAGCCTGCCAAGCTATCGGGCCATGTGTTTCCCGTTTCCCCAGCCGTTGTAGACACCCTTCGGGGAACACTTGGGGGAGGATGGTGGGGAAGATCAGGAGGAGGAGGGGGAGGCATCTTGGGATTCTCTGAGAGCACTCTTAGGGCCTACTGGGAGCTTCCTGGAAGCCTCTTGGAGGCATTTTGGAGGCATCCTTGGGCCTCTTGGGGGCCTTTGGGGGCTTCTCGGGGCCGTCTTGGGGCCTTTGGGGGCCGTCTTGGGGCGTTCCTGGCCCGTCTGACGCCGTCGGGAGCCGTCTTGGGTGCCTCTCTGGGCCGACTTGGGCCTCTCTTGTGGTGCTCCAGGACCGTTTTGGAGGCCATCTTGGGTGTTTTGGAGGCCTCTTGGGCCTTCTTGGAGCCCTTGGGGCACTCTTGGGGGCTTCTTGGGCCGTCCTGGAGCCATCTGGGAGGCCTCCTGGGCAATCTTGGGCCGATCTTTGGGGGCTCTTGGGCTGTCTCGGGCCGTCGGGAAGCCGACAAGAAGCAAATGCCATCATCTTTCAACAACCGGAAACAAATCAATGGTTTTGGCCTCTTGGAGGCCTTTTGGGCCGTCTTGGAGGCCTCTTGAGGGACTCTTGGGCCGTCTTGGGCCATCTTTGAGCCATCTTGGGCCGTCTTGGTGGCCTCCTGGCCCGTCTGACGACCTCGGAAGCCGCTTAGGGGGGCCTCTCTGGGCCGACTTGGGGCCCAAGTGCTCCAGGGCCGTCTTGGAGGCCATCTTGGGTGTTTTGGAGGCCTCTTGGGTCGTCTTGAGGTCCTCTTGCGTCAGTCTTTGGGGCCTCTTGGGCCGTTCTGGGGCCCCATTTTGGGGCGCTCTTTGGAGGCTCTTGGGCCATCTCGGGCCATCTCGGGCCATCTCTGGGCCTTCTTGGGCCCCCCTCTGGGCCGTCTTCGGGGCTCTTGGGCCGTCCTGGGGCCATCTTGGGGACGATCTTGGGTGCCTCTTGGGCCGTCTCGGACCGTCGGAAGGCCGAAAAGAAGCAACTGCCGACGGCCTCTTGGACCGTCTTGGGCCGTCTTGGAGGCTTATTGGGCAGACTTGGAGGTATCTTGGACACTCTCGGGCCATCTTGGAGGTCTCTTCGGCGATCTTGGGGCGAACTTGGAGGCCATCTTGGCTGTCTTGGAGGTTATATTGAGCCATCTTGGTCGTCTTGGAGGTCATTTGGGCAACCACCCGGGCATTTTCGGCAGCATTCATTCTGGGTGGCCTGCGGGGTCGGCCGACGCCCTATAGGGAGTTCTGTTGGAAAAGAGCCAAACCCAAGCCGTATAGGGTCTAGCCCGCCGGGCACCCCTGTGGCAAGACCACATGGGGGCGGCGGATCGAAGACGCCTACGGCGAATCACCGCCGCCCCCTTCCTTTTTGGAATC